CCCTTGTGCCTCCGGTTTCCGGGGGTGCCACAGTTATACCCTCGAGTATTTCTGAGCGCAACGGATAATGGCAATAGTGAGATGCAGAAGAGAAAGGGACTGAGGAAATCACCCTGAAATACATCCCTTCTGAAAGTGACCCACCCTGTTTGGACTCTTGCTTGACCAGATGTTATGGTGAAGCGAGTTCGCCAAAGTGGTATCAGTTGTTCAATGCATCTCACTATGTTGTCGGGTACCGCAAGGCATCTGAGCAAATGCAAAATGAGCTCATGCTCATCATCATTATTATTATTATTATCGTCTGTCTATTGCCAATCATTAAAAAACCAGTGATAAGTAGCAATGTCGAAATCTAAACTACCAAACTCTCCAGAAATACTCACGACCACAATTCATTTCAACTGTATCATTACCGGTTGTCCTTCTAATTACTTCACCCGTAATGCAACTACCCGCCCCCGCCCACAAATTCCTCGCCTGAATTATTGTTCGCTGAACATTTTCAAGGTTTAGGCGTTTCTGATATTCACCCAAGCCTAGGGTCAATCGGTGACATTCATTAGATATTTTCTCGCTCTTTGATCTTACATTCAAATAGGCGAATACATCGCTGACGTTGACCTTATAAGATCGGAATGCTAGGATAGAACCTCGAAATGAGATATTAGAAAGTCTGCAGCGATTGAACATCAATTTATTGGTTGCTACTATATTGTTTCAGGAATAATTGTGTTTACACCAAGTTTGCGATGGAGAAACAGCGAGTTAATTATATGATTTCTTCAGGTCCGTTCAGTATGCTTTCGTTGTGTTGGTGTGTATGAAATTATTCGAGCATGAAATGAAATTGGCTGAAACCAATGAAATTTTGTACAATTCCAAGATATCTTATTTTGGCTCCTACTCAATTTATGCACCATCTCCTCAAATCCTACTTCAACAATCATTTACAGAATGTATGTTTCAATAGTTCAAAATCTAACATGAATATTACAGCTAGTGGTGTTCCACAGGGCTCCATTCTGGATTATATATTGTGAGCTATTTTCATAAATGATTTGTGTGGTGCCATCAATTACAATAAGCTGATGATCGTAGATGATCAAAAATTATTGGTGCATTAGAAATCAGTTGCCCCTCAACATTTCTAAGTACAAAACGATAACTTTTACAAAATCCTTCCTATCCTTAATCTAATCTACTATATAAAAATGGATGTTTGTTGATTGGTTGGTTGATTGGTGGTTGGTAAGTGATACATCGCTACATCGCTAAAAAATGGATGTATTTTGGTTGGTTGGTTGGTTGGTTGATAAGTGATAAACTTCTACATCGCTCAACCAATCGTGAAGATTGTATAAGTAATTTTTCATAGAGAAGGTTTTTAGGCTATCAATTTTTCTGTCCCTCGCCACTAGATGGCGCTGTAGAACAATTTTTTTAAAGCACAGTTCTATAACGTTGCGCACGCCTACCTTCGTTGATTCTGATTCTGTCAAAACATTGGAACAGCAGTGATACAGCAACATAGCAACATAGTACCATATATATATATGGCATGAGTTATGTTGGCTTTGAGGACCGCTGTGGTTTGTGGCTTCTGTATCTGTAGAGTAGGGAGAGTGAGTGTAAGCCCACAGCACTTAGGCCACATGTGACCCATTATACATTCTGGGAGACATCTCCTCCACATCGGCAGGTGTAGGCCAAGACTCGCCGAACACACACTCTCTTATTGATGATAACTCCGGGCACTCGCATAGAACATGCCTGGCAGTCTCATCTTCCTGTTCACACATCCTACATAGAGATGTGTCCACTAGCCCCATATTATGGAGGCGTTTCCTTAGTTGACAGTAGCCAGTCAGAAATCCTACTGTTAAACGTAGATTATTCCTGGTCATCGCCAGATATTTCTTCGGCGCCAGCTTCCCAGGGTCGCCCAGGGTGATCCTGGCAAGACTGCATCCTTTGATTCCATCCCATATCTTTAGAGATTGAGCATGGGTGTAACATTTGGCTAGTTCCGCAATTGTCGAAGTCATCAGGCCGTAGGTGCCACTGGGTCCTAAAATTATTAGTCCAGCCGCTTTCTTGGCTAAAGAGTCAGTAATACGTTTACCTTTACTCCTGTCTTGCCCTTTATCCCACCTCAGGATGTTATTATCTACCGAGGCTTTGGCTAAATCTTGGTAGTACTCTAGTACTAGCCCTGAGATAACACGTTGTATGTTCAAGGCTAATAAGTCTTGTCTGCTGTCAGTGCAGATTTGGTTTGTGGCTTATTCGCATATACCTACGACTTAAGAAAACGTCACAAGAAAGAGTCTAACGGGGTTTAATCGCAAGATCTCGGTGGCCATTGAAGGCCTGATCAAAGTTTCTAGAAAAAATATGGACCAATGAAGACTCCAACCCAAAATTCATACCAAAAAGTGACTTTTTTGGAATGCATTGGACGCTCTTGGATCCCATGTGGATTGGTATCGCCACAAAATAAAAAATTTTGTTTGTTCGCGCACTCATTCATCCAGAAATGGGCCTCATCGCTGAAAACGATTTTTCGATTGTCTATGGTCGTTTAGTTTCAGTTCCTGGGTGCAGGCCCAAGCCACGACGCAAAATTTGCAAAGTTGTGGTATGTGATAGACTTAGTTCTTATGAGCGACGCGGAATCGATTGCTTTGGGTGTTGATCGATCGTTTACTGAAGCAATTTCATTATTTGCAGGTGTTGTCGAATGTTATATCCATCTATGGTGATTTGGTGAAACAGACCGAATAAATAACAACTAATTTGACGGGTGTACCTTCAACAAGATGGGCATCATCAATTGTCAAAGCTCGTAGTTCCTGTTGGAAGACCCTATGTTAGTGATATCGAAGATTTAGGAATTTATTTTGACACGCAACTTATTTCAAATGATCATAGAATAGTGTCATCGTCATATTGTGCATACAGTAACACTTTTAGGAATTGTAAAATATTTCCTGAAGAACTCGGTCCTAAAAGGTTGAATTTTAGTTTAACCTGATCTGAAATAAAATATTTTTCCGTTATTTGGAGCCCAGTAGATATCAGTACAAAAGTTCAATTGAAAATTAATATGTCCAGAAAAAGTTCAACTTATTCAATTTTTTACAAAGATTTGAGTTTGATAATTTACAAAAACGTAATTTAGATCTATTGTGATTAGATTTTATGTTCTATAAATCAATAAAAAAGTAACTTTGATGTAATTACTTACTCCAGGTTCAAGTGATAGGGCCATAAAACCAAATCCAAAAAGGTACAGCCAAAGGAGACCTGAAACAATGAATAAAGGAGTCAATTATTATTTATTTTAAGATTATGTGGTATATAGATAATTCAAAACACCTGGAAGATAACTTAGAAATTCTCACAAAGTTCATTAGGCAAGCCAGAAGTTGGCTATTCTGTTATGACTTGAATAATTACTGCTGACCATATAATCGGCTTAGTTGAGAAGCTGGATTTATTTAGTCGAGTCTGGATAGGTGTAAACTACAATAAACCCCCGTGGGTCGTGATACACCTTTAAAAACTGAAATCCAAGAAAAGCAGGATTTCAAAAAATTTCGAACCTATTTTTAACGATTGCAGCTGGTTCAAATATATCCTGGAATATCTCAAAAGTTTCGTACTCTGCTGACCAAATTTAGAAGCTCGAGAAAGTTCTAAGACAAACAGATTTGATAGATCAAGATCTGGTTGTGGACAATAGTTTGTGAAATAGTTCTTGATTTGTAACATTTTGAAATACTGAATATCAGATTTGTAGGTCTATGTTATTTCTGTAGATTCAGGAGTGTCTTTATGTCTGAGAGAAACTAACCTCATTAAAAAAACATATTTCCAAACTCAGAAACACTATGTTATCGAAAAGACAGCCAAAAAGCTAATTCGGATCATAAGATTCTTATATGGGAACTGATGTTATGTTGATGAGTCCAAGCATGCTCTGATATTCCTGATTGATGGTTTCTCCTCGCTGTGTGTGTTTCTTGTGCTCGGCAATGCGAACTTTCAATGGCCTCTTAGTTTTACCGATGTATGATTCTCCGCACTCGCAGTGTACCCGGTAAATACCGAGTGAATTCTTGGAATCGCAGTCCGCATTTGGTGGCCTGGTTTTTGTGAGGCTGCTACGGATAGTGTTCCCAGATCTGAAGTAGGTTCTGATGTTATACTTGGACCCAATCCTTCTTATCCTTTCCGAGTTGCAAAAACTGATTAGATTATGTATTGTGTTGTTATGCATTCTAATTATTGCAATTATTGAACAAAAGAAAACATGCTTGGGGCAATAATCAATTTGAACGAAAGAAAGAAGCTGAAATCACTATTACAAAAGATCAGTTTCGGAAGATCCCGAAATTCCTCAATAAAAACACACGGTATAATCAAACCCTTACACCGATACGAACGAATCAAGATTTATATCACAATGCATAATTTTCGTTAATAACTCAATAAATAATTTGTTGCTAATGGCAACATTATAAAATTAGGAAACGCGTCTAATAAGCGCCTTCGGAATCTTTGAGAAATTTCGTAATTCGATTGCGGTTGTACGAAGATGTTACCTCGTCCTGATTATTTTATTTACGTTGTTTTAATTGCTTCTTTCAATGATCGAATTGAATGCATGGGAATCTTGATCTGAATTATGGCACCTCAATTAGTTTTACGCTGGGATAAAAGAACATTAGGTTTCAGTCCTTAATGGATATTAGATAATGAGTTGAAATAGATTCATCATGCTGGTGAAAGATATGGAGTAGCGGATTGAGTGGCGAAATATTTAATGAAGACATTGAAATTCATTTTCTGGCCAATGGAGAATATTTGGAGCAATAATGAAGTTTTATCGCAACATCAAACCGTTATTCTAACACCTCGACACGTGTTTTGATCACCAAGTGATCATCTTCGAGAGGAAGATTAAACTAAAAATATGTACGATGTTATTCTCATTTATACCATAGATACCTCTTCTAGATACCTGTGTCTTAAGTGTCTTAAATTAATTTCATAATATTACCTTATCTACTAGTCCTCAATTAATTTCATAATGTGTCCTTTTGTGATGATCATGTTAATCTGATGATTATTTTACCAAGCTATAAATAATATATTACCTATTAACTCTGTGAAAACCTATTATGTACCATTCAGTAGTTATGACAACTCTCTACCAGAATATGACATCAAAATTTCCAATACGGAAGTCATCAAACCCACGAAGAAAATAAAAATTCTTGGAATAATTTCAGACAGCAATCTCAGGTGGAACCAGCACATAGAACACATAGTTAAAAAATCACGTTGCATACTTTACAAATTCAAACGGATAGCAAACATACTCAATCAAAAACAGAAAATTATGTTAGATAAGAGTTTAGTAGAGTCCCATCTGAGATATGGTATAATTGGTTGGGTTGGAATGTCGAAAACTCATCTACATTCTCTTGAGGTTATGCAGGAAAGATTTATCAGATGTATCCTACGGAAAGGTTACGACTACCCTAGCAATCTACTTCATTCAGAATCTGGAATATTTGATCCCAGACAGCTGTTTTCTATTAATATTACTGCTGTACAGCATAAAAACAAAAAATAATTAATATGCTACACGTCGGAATACCATTAGTGCTCAAATCAGTGGGGCAGAAATTCTATCGGTATTTAGGACCAAAACTCTGCAGTTTTCTTCCAGAAAATTTAAGATGCGAATCAAATCTCAAAAAATTTATGACAAAGATTAAACTAATTGTGAAGAATATACCACGAGCAGAGATACATAGACAAATATAAATTTAAATACTTACTTCCACGATTGTGAATATATATTGTGTATTAATATGTTTGTAGTCTGGAACCCTTATGATTAAAATCTATATACCCATTGATTGTTTAATTTATTTATATTCTGTTCAAATGTGTCCAGTTTAAACTCATATTCTTATCTATATCTAGTACTTATTCCAATAGATTGATTGGTTTTATTTATTTATACTCTGTTCAAATGTAGCTATTTTAAATTTATATCTTAGTACTTAATTTAATGCATGAATCTCATTCAATGCCAGAAGCAGTATTCTCATTCCTTACACACAGGCACATCATTTCACCACGTAAGATGTATTTTATTTGTTTACTATTCATTTCTATATGTACATGTATATATATAATATTTATATACTATTAGGTCCACCATCGTTATTCCTAATATCATTATGTTTACTTATTTCCACACTCTCATACGCATTTTATTTAATCTACCCCTTGAAGATGGTCGAAACACGTGTCGAACTGTTAAAATAACGGTTTGGCGTTGGGATAAAACTCCAGTGATATTAATTACTACACCAAAGGTTCCAAACATCACAAATAACAGTTGGTCTGACTAGTTCGTAGGCTAACATAGAAAAAAATATGAAAATTGATTTCATTATTCAATATAATTGCTTTCCAGGGTGGAACAACGATTATAGCAGTTACACACAAATACTTCGAAAATATAAAGAAAAAATGTACACAAGAAAAATTGGCTCACCCCTGCTATACTCAAATCCTTAAATGTGAAATTGAAATTGTATCGAATGTCATTGAAAGATCCAACTAACTGAAAACATATGTAGCATACAGAAATAGGCTTAACAAAATCGTCGAAAAGTATAAATAAGTACAGTTTTTTGGCAGTTCATGAAAATGAACAAAAAAAGTTATTGACCAAATAGAATTTCAATAAGCATTATAGGAAATTGGGAAAACATAGGAAACGATATACCAAATTTACAAAATTATAGAGTTGAATCTGTCAATCTAGAACACACGATGTACCTATACCCCACAAATGAGTTCAAAATTATAGAAACAATAAAAAAATTAAAAACAAGAGTCACCCGTATATGATGATATGCGATCAGAAACTTTCAAAGATGTAGCGAATAAGATATGCTCTCCGCTAACATTTTTATGTAACAAATGTTTCGATTCTGGGTGATCTCTAGAAGTTTTGTAATATGGATTGAGATAAACCCTTTTATAAAAATGGAGATGAATAAAAATCAGTAATTATAGACCAATTTCTTTATAATGGGTGTTTTTTATAGAGGTATAGAACTTTAAGTTGGCATTACTTTTCAAGATGGCGACCGATTTAACAGCTGTCAAGTGATTTATTATTAGTTTGGTTTGGCAATTCATCATGAATAGACTCACGCCTGAACAACGCTTGCAAATAGTGCAATTTTATTTCGAAAATAATGGTTCTGTGCGAAAAACGTATCGCGCACTACGTCCATTTTATCGTCGACAAAATCGTCCATCAGAGCAGTTAATTCGATTAACCATGGAACGTTTTCGCACCACGTTTACTCTTATTGATAACTCGCATCCCCAGAGACGCCGTACGGTGCGTACAGAAATATGATGATATCCGATCAGAAACTTTCAAAGATGTAGCGAATAAGATATGCTCTCCGCTAACAATTGAAGAAATTTAACATATTTTCAGAATTTCAGTTCGGTTTTAGAGAAGTGTTTATAATGCTCTTAATGAGCATTGGATTGGATATTTATAGACCTTTCTAGGGCTTTTGACACTGTATATCACAAAAACCTTTTAAGAAAGCTTGATGACTATAATATAAGTAGTAATAAGTACGCCATTTTATCCAGTAATTGGTACTTACTATTTACATCTTATATTGTAAATTTACTATTTGAAAACCAATACCTCTTACTATCAAAAAACATATTCCTAATCAAATAGTATTCTAGTAAATCGATTTGCCCTACAATTCTTAAAATATTGCACTTGTTGTATCAACTCGAAAGTAGTTTTTATATGTACTATTTCAAAACACTTCAAAAGGTTTATTTAAATCCTCTCATTCGAATCAGTTGGATGAATAGAAAGCAAGTACAACTTTCAATGTAGCCTTCGACAAATAAAAAAAAATATAATAAAACTTTTCAATGCTTATATTGCATAAGTTACTGTATTGACTTTGTTCATCAGATATACAAGATTTTAATAACCATATCTATCCAAAATAGTGTCTGAATAACATGAATTATGAGGTTTATAAGAATGACGTGATCAACGCAATCTTCGATAGTTTGAAAATATAATTGATATTACATCTCTTCTCTTTCTCACCAGTTTTCATTAATCACAATCCGTTCTCATAATACATCATTGAAATCTTCCTTTCTTATTATTCAACAAATAAAATGAGCGATTACTCCTAAACTAATATGTTTCAATAGAAGAC